AAGATCAGTTTCGGACTCAGACTCAGAAGTGGATTTACTGCCAAATCAGGAATCCGACTTACTGCCAAATCAGGTCAACGAATCAAGTCTGAATCAACCAAATCAAGTCCAGATCAACAACGAAGCACAGAACTGGACAACAAACACAACGGCGCCACACCCGGACAAATCGGCCAAAGCCAAAACCACCCGAGTGGCTCGGCTAAAGCCGAGCCACCAAGGGGTGGCTCGGCCATGGCCGAGCCACCCCATGGTGGCTCGGCCATGGCCGAGCCACCCCATGGGGTGGCCGAGCCACCCCATGGTGGCTCGGTTGCCGAGCCACCTATGGGTGGCCGGCCACCCATGGGTGGCCATCCTCTGACACGTGCACGCGGGCACAGTAAAGGTGGCCTATAAATAGGAGAGGGGGTTGTTCATTTGAAAGAGTTGGAAATTTTGGAGAGAGGCGAAGCCCTGCTGGATTGGAGACTCGGAACTAAAAAAAGATTGAAACTTTGGGACTTCGGGGACTCACTCCTTCAGATCTGGTGCTCGGCGATCATCAAAGTCAAATAAGGCAGGTGTTCGAGAGGATCAGATCTCAGATCTACGCAGGCATACTCCGGATCTAAGCTTGGTCTTAGATCCCGAGACTTGGACGATTGTTTCCTTGGTGAAACAATCCTCCCCGGCTATTATTTCCTTGGTGAAATAATACCCGTCGTACTGCGTAGATCCGACCGGATCTAGATCTCGCGGTGGTCCACGGCAAACAACCCCGGCGCAGGCAAAGAACCCACCAAGCGAGCGACCGCAAAACAGGAGCTCGCGATTCGTTCGACACAAAAGGAGAAAAGTTGTAATCTTTGTTTATTTTTATTTGATTTTCATTGTAACCGGATCTTATAAAAAGACCGGATCTTTTGTAACTAAAAAAGTTGTAACTCAAGATGACAATGGAATCAATAACAAAGAAAGACACGATTTTTCCCGCGAACAACTATGACCAGCTCAAGGTATTTGGGTGTCCTGCATACTATCATGTTAAGACTGATAAGTTGGAACCTCGAGCTAGGAAGACCATATTTGTAAGATTTAAGCGTGGTGTCAAGGGATACAAGCTATGGGATCCGGTTGATAGGAAGATTGAACTGGGTAAAGACGTCATGTTCGATGAGCCTTCTATCTTAAAGCTTCCCAACTCTTATCAGATGGAAAGCGACCCGACGGATGAGATATCGTAGGTGGTGGAGATCGATGCAGCTTCATATTGTCCAGATGGTACAGTATCCATTAGAGTATCAACTGAGATGACGCTAGGTGAGCACGGCGACGACGAGGAGGATATGGGTACAGATGTGCAGAATCAGGGACCGATGACTCAGGTTCAGGATTCTATTACGATTCGGAGATAGAGGAGAGACATACAGATGCCAACATAGTATACCGGCACAGTAGTTGCATATGCACTTCTAGTGGAGAGTATCGATGAGTTGATGCCTACTACATTCAGAGAGGCCAAACAGTGTTCGGAGACTGATTGGTGGCAGGTAGCTATGCAGGAGGAGATGGAGTCTCTTCACAAGAACGATACATGGGAGCCTATTGAACTCCCAAAGGGGCGGAAGGTGATTGGTTGCAAGTGGGTATACACGAAGAAGGAGAGCATTAAAGGCACTCCAGTGAGGTTCAAAGCTAGGTTGGTTGCGAAGGGCTATGTACAGGAGGAATATATTGATTATAATGAGGTTTTCTCTCAAGTGGTAAAGCATTCTTCGATTTGGATTTTACTAGCTTTGGTGCACAGTATGGATAGGAGTTAGATTAGTTGGATGTGAAGACGATATTTATTCATGGTGATCTTGATGAAGAAATATATATGACTCAGTCATTGTGATTCCGAGCTGCAGGGAAGGATAAGTTGGTTTGTAGGTTGAAGAAATCGCTATACGGTTTGAAGCAGTCTCCTCGACAGTGGTATAGGCGATCGGATGGATTTATGATCAGTCATTCATACACTCAGAGCTAGTTTGATCCTTGCGTGTATTTTCGTAAGTTGAAAGGAGGTGCATATATTTATTTATTGCTTTATATCGATGACATGTTGGTTGTCTCTATTTCTAGGTCTGCTATAGATGAGTTGAAGGCACAACTTTCAAAGGAGTTGAGATGAAAGATTTGGGTGAGGCTAAGCACATTTTAGGGATGGAGATCGGTAGAGACAAAGAGAATGGTATAATTTGTTTGACACAGGTGGTTTATTTGAAGAAAGTTTTACAGTGATTTCATATTAGCATGGATACGAACCCAATTAATGTACCTTTGGGAGCCCATTTGAAGTTTTCAGCTAACCTTTCACTGAAGACAGTTGAAGACAGAGAGTTGATGTCGAAGACTCCATATGCGAGCGTAGTTGGGAGCTTGATGTATGTGATGGTATGTACGAGGCTGAATTTGTCACAGGCGGTGAGCATAGTTTCAAGATACATGCACAATCCATGAGTGGATCATTGGGACGCTGTGAGATAAATTTTGAGGTACATTCATGGTACCCTCAATTTTGGTTTAGTTTTTGAGCAGGACACTAGAGGTGGGTAGTTGTGCATTGGCTATGTTGATTCGGATTATGTCAGGAATTTGGATAAGTGCCGGTCTACGACGGGGTATGTGTTCACTTTGACCCATACGCCGGTGTGTTAGAGATGCACCTTATAGTCTACGATGACTTTATCGATGACGGAGGCAGAGTATATGTAGAGGTTGTGAAGGAGACTATTTGGCTTCGAGGACTTTTGGAGGAACTTGGTATATTGCACCGGTCCGTCACTATTCATTGTGATAGCATGAGTGCTATCTATTTGACGAAGAATCACGTTTTCATGTGAGGACAAAAGCATATTGATATTCGTTATCACTTTGTTCGAGATGTTCTTGAAGATGACGATGTAGAAATTGTGAAGGTCCACACGAAGGATAATCCGGCGGATATGCTCACAAAGGTGGTTTCGAGCAATAAGTTTGATCATTGTCAAAACTTGTTACACATTCGTGATTGTTGAGCGTTGATGGCTATTTGGATGAACTACGAGCGGCTTGATCCCTTGGAAGAGGGGGTACGTAGGCAGTTAATTTGATGCAGCCGGTTTGATATGTTGATACCGACATTTGGAGATTGTTTGCATTCTCATTCGGATTTCCGACTTGTTATGGATTGAGTCCGTTGTCGTAGATTTATTCTACTTCATCCTAGACGCAACGAGTGGGACACATTTTGGTTGGTATTGGTCTTGATTCCGTTTTGAAAAAATTTCGTCGAGTTAGAGAATTGTGGATAACTCAGGAAATCATTGTGGAGAACTTAGAAAATCTAGTTTTTTTGTCATAAGTTGATTCATGCTTTTTTGTCATAAGTTGATTCATGCACAGGCATAAGTTGACTTATGGTAAGTCGATTTATGTCTGTGCACGAGTCGACTTACGTTCTGTTCTCCAGTTGTTGTTTTGCGCTCGGTCAAGTCGACTTATGGTAAGTCGACTTGTTCCCACTGTTAAGTTGACTTACGATGGTTTTCAGGACTGTTTTGATTTCCTGTTTGGTTTGGGTTTCTGTTTTGATATAAATAGGAACATGATTTTCTAGGGTTAAGAATCAGAGATTTAAGATTGTACTGAGCATATTGAGAGAGAGAACTTGTGAGCAAGTTGAGAGATTTGTTTTAGGGTTTATTTGAGTGATTTTGTGAGATTGTAACCCTTTGTACTCTTCTTGATTTAGTGGAATCTCTCCATCCTCTCCCCGTGGACGTAGGTAAATTGTCGAATCATGTATATCTCTGTGTTTGGTTTGATTTGTCATATTTTGGATTGGATTGTGCTCGTGTTTGGTTTGGTTTTCTTCTCCCGTGCTTTACAGACTCGTTCGGTGTGTGAGCATGCTTCCGCATAGGCGCGCAACATAAAGAGCTATATTGTGGGTTTGGGGATTTTACTATTGAAGAACAATGGAAAATTGCGTTGCGGGTTGCGAATATAAAATCAACTATAGACCGGGTGGGTAGGAGTTTAGATGTTAGTGTTTAACGAGAAAGAGGTATAATAGGAAGTTCACATATTTCTGTTAGATTTAACTGAGCTTAACTCTCATTAATAAGTAAAGGGATGTTTTGGTAATGAAAATGATTATCTAAGGGAGGTTTTCGCTAGGGGTGGAAAGGAACTAAATTCGAATCAAATACCCCACTATTCGTATTCGTACTCGGTTCCTATTTTGGAATTTTCGAATACATATTCGAACCCAAAACGAATAGAAACCAGTGTTCGAATTCAATTCGAATAGTTTTTGAATGTTAAAAAACTATTCATGAATATTCGTTAATACTGTCTAGGTAATCTTTACAAATTATTCAATCCGTATTTTTTAGATATTCACAAATATTTGTTATCCAAGTATTGCAATGGAGACAATCATGATATACTTGATGAATATGCAACCTGGTGATACATAATATCCATTAATAAAAATTCAAAATTCTATTTATCCACATTTACAAGCAACAAAATGAAAATTCAAGGTTTACACTGTACAAACAAATAGTTTATTAAATAAACGAATCAAATATACTTATGGTTAAATTTTATTCGTTTATGAACAAAATAATAATAACTATTCAATTACACTATTAAACGAACCATCAAATCGAAAATGGCCAAATACTTAGGCTAATAAATACAGAACTATTTGTTAAGTATTTAGTTCGTTTCCACCGCTAGCATTGGCACAGAGTTTGGGGGGAGGTTTTTTTTTTTTTTTTTTTTTTTTTTTTTTTTTTTTTTTTTTTTTGGGGGGGGTTTTTTTTTTTTTTTTTTTTTTTTTTTTTTTTTTTTTTTTTTAGAGAAAGGATGGATTACCAAAATAGTAATCCAGCCAGCTAAATTAGGTTTGGGGGGAGGTCTTGGCCATTAAAGATCATGTGAGGGGTTTATATGCAATTTCCCTCAAAAGGATCAACCCAAAATTACCCCATAAACTTCTTTCTCCTCTTTCCCAAATTCTCTCTCCGAGGGTCTTTCTTCTTCCTTCCCGCGATCGATCTCAAGAATGGTGAGAGGATCAAACAACCAACAGTTCAAAGATAAGGCCAAGAATCGCGTCGCCGATCTCGAGGGGATGTTCACCGATCTCCAGTCCGCTCGCCTCGAGGAGCAAGTTCATCAGTTGCTGCGAGAGTGGAAGGCAGAGCTATGCGAGGCCTCTCCCGGCAATTCTCTAATCGTAAGGATCTAGATCGAGAATTAACGATTAAAGTTTGTTTTTTAGGGTTTTGGATTGAGTTATGTTTGATAGGGGGATTGTAAGGGAGATTCGGATCTCTCGTCGGAGATATGGAGGTTGCTGCACATTGGAGAGGAGGAGGATGACGCGACCAGTAAGTTGGAGGAGATTGTGGCGGTCAATTCGAAGGCTGAGCCGGCCGAATCGGGGCATGAGAATGGGTTGGGGGGATTTCAAGGGGAAGAAGTTACTGTTTTTGAGCAGGTATAACGTTTTCTGACAGAAAATTTGAAATTACTATGATCAATTTGCTTTTTCGATTGTGTTTTACTTGTTATCAGAGTTTATATTGGCTATGTGCAAACTAAGTTGAGTAACTGGGGCAAGATGTGCATGGTATTTATTAACTTGGGAAAATGGATACAGGTGACGCATGGGTTTTAGGCTGAGTGCTTAGATGGACCCTAACGAAACATGTGTGTGCACATACACACAAATGCACATGCACAGCTGGGCTGGGAAAAAGTAGACACAGGCTGATAGCTCTCTGAAACCGACAAAAACATTAAGTTAGCACCTAGAAGTGATAGTTTAGAAGTCTCCGTATATTTAACTTGATTGACGCGTTATCTTAGAAGCAGTTGTGTGTTTGTATGTAACATGTTGTTGAGAGTATCTCCCAGAAAGTGAGTATTGAAGTTTTATGGGGTAAATGATCTGTTTGATCATCAAACGAAAGGGCGACAGTCTCAACAGAAATATAGTGTCGATTTAAAGAAGTTAATCAGTCTAGAGGTGCCACCCAAACTTATTGTGTTGTTTGTGCAGAGGGAAAATTATAAGGAATTTAAGGTTATATAAGAAAGATTTTCATCCACTGCGGTAAAAGTACAAGTCTGCAGTGTGTGAGCAAGTCTGCTTGCATCAGCGATTTAGCTGCTAGACTCCCCAGTTCATGAGGTCCTTGTGTACTGGCTGTCTTGTGACGTCTTAAGCATTTCAAATCATTTCTCTAACTTAGTAATGTATATTTCTTTTCAAAAAAAAAAAAGAATTGTATTTGAAATACGCCCTTCTTTTCATGGGGTTGTTGATGAAGGCAAATGAATAAATACAAAGGATGATTGCATGATAAATATAGTCGGAAAGAGGTCATGTGACTACTATGATCTATTAGAAGACCTACAGAGAGGGTTATCTTTTTTGATACTTGCATCTAAATGTCAAGTAGGTTTTGTATTGTATTTTGCAGCTTGGGTGTGTCACTGCAAACTGTTGTTTTAGCATACTTGTGGATCTTGGGCTTCCCACGTTTAAGCCATCTATAGTTTTTTTTTTGTTTCTTTTTTCTTCATCGATGAATTCTTCATATGCCATTTGACCAATTGCTTCTATTGATAATGTTACTGCTCAAATCTTTTTACTATTTATGCTGTTGTCTGACCTTGGTCAATTTAACTATTGATGGTTACTTGCAATTCATTCTGACATAAAATGATTGGTCACATTTGAAAAGAAAAGAAGACACAGTTATCTTTTTTGCAAATATATCAATTTTTATTTTCTAGCTCATATAGCTTTTATATGACTTATTATACAATGAGTTTCTAGAAATGCATGTCGTCAGTATGGTTTTGACTGTTTGTTTTTCGTGAATGAGTTCAAAGTTCTGCCTTCTATTAAAATAGAACTGCCATCATCCATTACAAAAGCTGACATTGTATCTTGTTTCCTCTGCATGTACATACTGGTGATCTTAAGCTTGTAATTTGTTCATGCCACTTCCATTCGTGCAGGAACATTTTGTTAATCAGGAACTATCAAAACACGGGTTCCTGAATATTGACGAGTACAAAAGCACCCCTCCTACAGGATCCCACCATGCTGTCAGTAGTTGTTCAGAAAAGACTAATGGTTTGAGTTACGAGCAGTTTAATCTGCATGAGGAAGTGCAACGTAGCCATTATATCAATAATTTCGAGGGAACTTTACAGAATGGTGGAAATATTCCCCATCATCAGGAATTGTCTCACATCTCAGAATGGCTCCCAGCAATATCCCCTCCAGCTTCTGCTTTCTTGAACCCGAAATGTGCACTCTGGGACTGCCCAAGACCTGCAGAAGGAAAACGATGGTGTCAAGACTATTGCTGCAGCGGTCATGCTTCTCTGGCATTGAGTGAGGGTCTTCCTGGTATGAACCCTGTGCTAAGGCCTGGAGGAATTGATCTGAAAGACGGTCCACTTTTTGCCGCTCTTGCTGCGAAAACACAGGGAAAGATTGTTGGTATCCCAGAATGTGAAGGGGCTGCAACTACGAAGTCTCCATGGAATGCCCCAGGTATCCATATTGCTATTTTTTACATTTAATAATTCTTTTATTGGGTTCACATTGTTTCCTGTCATGTGGTTATGAAGTTGGGCAACTTTCACCAAATAAACCCTGAACTTCGTAAATAAGACTAAAATTCCCTGAACTATTAAAAATTGTTGGTTACAACATTAAATAGGTTGAGTATGAAATCTAAGTACCGTTTTGTGTTTACTTTTTACCCATTCTTCCTGAAAAGGGTAATGTAGAAGTCAAAAAGTAACTACCATGCTATGGTATTTGAGTGGGTTTCAGGAGGGTTTTCTATGATTTATAAAGTTTCAAGAGGGTTTGCTGAATCTATAACAGAAGATTGTTCCCTGATTTTTCTGCAGAGCTTTTCGATCTGTCTTTTCTCGAGGGTGAATTGCTAAGAGAATGGCTCTTCTTTGATAAGCCTAGGAGAGCATTCGAAAGTGGGAGCCGGAAACAAAGGTCACTGCCAGATTACAATGGGCGTGGTTGGCATGAGTCTAGGAAGCAAGTAATGAAGGAGTTTGGAGGACTAAAGAGGTCCTATTATATGGATCCACAACCACTGAACAACTGCGAATGGCATCTCTTTGAGTATGAGATCAACAGCTGTGATGTCTGTGCTTTGTACAGATTAGAACTAAAGTTTGTTGACTCAAAAAAGAGCTCAAAGGCAAAGGTAGCAAGTGATTCTCTTGTAGATCTTCAGCGTCAAATGGGGCGGCTTAATGCAGAGAATGCTAAAGATAACAGGCGATATTCAAAAGGAAGGACAAAGGCTAACCAGAAGGTTGTTAGTGAAAATTTTTATTCAGCTGCCGACTTAGCTAATCAGAAGGTCAATGATCTCCATTTTTATGAAAGTTCTGATCAAATGGGGTATATTAACGGGAACCCTGTTTATGGACCAAGTCTTCCTTATGGTTTCTCAATCGAGGACTTAAAACAGTACTATGGAACATAGGCATACAGGCACAAGATTATGATCATGAGAAGATGGGTTACAGACTTTGGTTCGCTCTTCACAAAAACCGAGCGTGGTATATTTGTCAGTAACCAAATTTTAGTTTTTGGCCCTTCCACATTCTGCAGCAACCTCTAAAATTTGAGAATGTATAGCGACAACTCCTTCCTGCGTACATAGTTCACTAGATGAAGCAGTTATATGGCCTCACCACAATGTGAATGTATAGTGACAACTCCTTCCTGCGTATATAGTTCGCTAGATGAAGCAGTTATATGGCCTCACCACAATGTGCATGTAAACTGCACATGTGGGCTCAGTTTAATTTTGGGCACGATATATGCTTTAACTATGTTAATAACATCATTGTGTACATACAGGTTTTTTTGACTTGAAACTGAATCTGAGAGCATTTTCTCGATGCATCTAATATGTAAGCGGTAGTGACATCTAAATTTACAAAAGTCTTTTGAGTACTTTATTCTTGAAGCTTGTCGATTGTGTTCTCTAGGTGTTTTGTTCGCCATGGTCCTGTCTTGATTGGTTCTTGAGGTGAGGTTGACTTGTACGACCATTTTCATCCGCTTCCTATTTATTTGCTCTCTTTGGTAGTGCCAGGAGCGTGATGATGATCTCCGTCTTCTGGAGGACTGGTGAATGTTTCTCTCTAACAACTAGTTTTGTTCAATATCGATATTATCTACCCGCTTCATTTCAGCTCTGCACTGGTTGAAGGGTTAATTGCTCACAGATCTCTTGGAGTATGGTTGTGAGTCTGGCTGTGTGCATGTGCCGTGCTTGCATCCGTGTGTGTGGCTGTTGCAGGTGGCTGTTGTTTGTCAGACAGTACGCGCGCCCGCACGCATCCTGAGAACCTCACTGCTCCGTTCTTCTAGTGAAACTACGCTGCTCTGTTTCAAGAGTGCGAGCAGGATGGGATCGTCAGGCTACTGATAAGTTCTTCAGTTTCCGATCACGCTTTTTTGTGCACTTGGGCATGCGTGAAGCGAGAAACATTATGGATCCAATGGAGGTTTATAAATAATTTCTTCTGCAGCAGTTACACAAACATAAATGTCCTGGTTTCTAAACATCAAAGCGACTATGGTTAATTGGGAAATATTTAAAACAACACTGGGAAATAAAAAAAGGCCTCTTGCAATGTAGGAGCATTGGCGTGAAAAGGGAAAAAAAATGCAAGAACAACATGAATCCTATCGGAGCAGTTCTTATAAGGGTCGGCTGGTCTACCCTGTTGATAAAATATCCAGTTTCCTAACCCACCCTCGCACCATGTGAATGGTATCGACTATCCCCTTCTATTCAGTGTGTGTTCTGATAGAATCTTTACTTTGCCAAGAACTATATATTTTATGCAAGACAACGAGTTTTTTATTTTTTTTGAAATCTTTGGATTGTAGCGTTAACAGTGCCCTAGAAGTAGGAAAATTTCAAAACATACTTTTTTTGAAAATTTATTATTGGCAAAATTGGCCGTTTTTCGCTTTAATGGCAAACAACGGTTAATTTTACAAAATAGAGACTTTAAAAAAACACAGGACTAGACTAGTCCCGCATAATTAAGGGTTAATTTGAAATCAGATTAACCCTTTTTGGCGTACGCTAATTAGCCCTTAATTAGTGACCATTAATTATATGGAACTAGTAGTTTCGTATTTTTTGAAAGTATCTATTTTATACAAAATCGACCGCTTTTTAGTTAGCAGTAATGACATGTCTAAAAAGTGATTGATTTTGCTAATTATTTAAAAAAGTCGATCCTTGCTAATAAAACTTTGAAAATGTTTTTTTTTTAATCTCCCTAGAATTTGATCAATTCTCACACTTTCTTCAAAAGGATCATGAAGCTTAGTATGAGCTCGATGCCATTAAAATATTTGAAAAAAGATATCAAGGAACAGAGGGGGCTGGGGGGGGGGGGGGGGGGGTTGAGATATTATCAAAAAATAAACTTTCTTCACGTTTCAAGTTCTTATCCACTGATGTTTGTTCGGAAGTCTAAGTTCCACAAAAAAGAAAGAAAAAGAAAAAAGTTTATACCCAATGTTTCAAGGAATCCTCTCATCTATACGACTTCGACAAAAGAACACCCTCATTTATCATAGATCTGTACAAGAAAAGTTGATATAAGATACTTAAAAAAAACAAACAAAAGGTAATTATAATTACTATTTTTTGATCTAATATGAACAGATGAT